ACAACTTAACTCGCAATTCTTCCCAAACAAATCCTTAGAAGTTCTCTCAAAGGCTTTCCCTCTTTACAATCTCTCATAATTATCTCTTAGAAATGTAATGAAGAAGAAATCTCTCACATACACTCTCCTCTTACAACTCTAGAAGAAAATCTCCTCCTTTTTCTCTCTCTAATTCCCACCTCTCCTCACTCTCTTTAACTTTTTTGTCCCTCTCCTTACTAGTCCCTTTAGAAGTTCCCTTTTGTTGGCTGCCTCTCCTCTTTGAAAAGAGTCTCAATTCCCTCCAAAATTCAAAAGTTAAAACCTTGAATTTCAAAAGATGTGTCTCCTAAGAGTCAAATCTCTTCAAATAGGAACCTTCCAAAGTGTCTACATGCATTGAATCATTCAATGGGGTGCTTAGAACAAATGTCCCTTTAAAAATTCACGCAAAATTCGTCTCGGACCGCCTTAATTTAAAAATGTCGCGCTTGGCGCATCATGTACCAACGCTCTAGATTTTGGCGCATCATGCGCCGAACCCCGAAATTTGCTGTTTTTGCTCCAAATTTTGCTCTTTTTGCCATTTTTGCTCAAAATGCTTAAAAATGATATATCTGCAACAAAAAAATATATTTATTTAAAGTGCAATATCATCAAAAATAGACATCAAAAAGTACTTAAAATAATATATTATTTTTGTGGATTACACCTCCATGGAACCTCAAAAAGTTTACAGACCTGGATCGAACAAATTGTTGGTTTAAATCATTTTTGGCGATCAATTCTCATGCAAATCATTTATGGTGATCAATTCTCATGCAAATCTCAAGAAAGAACAGTTCACTGATAAAAAAGTAAATAATTTTTCTATAAATCATGTGATATGCTAGAAATTTTTTTCTATACATCATTCAAAATAAATGGTCAACTAAAATTTGCTAACAAGCTCAATTTAAATTTGTCAAAGTAAAAAAAATAGGTGTTAAAAGTAAATGTTTTGAAGTGTTATTATCAGAGCTATGAGCACTTCAAAATACTCTTTCAATTGCCACAAGACATACTGTTTTAACTCTATCACAAAAAGTCAAAGTCGTGCTCCTAGTGAAATACAATTTACACAACCCACATGTTTTAATGGTCATAAGTTTTAAAGAGAGCAAATTGGAAGAGTAGAAAATAGTAAATGATGAGGGATTTAACAATTTCTGAGACCTATTAGAGGAGCTTCAAGATCAATCTTTCATATTACAAGAAGAAGTGAAGAGAAGAATAAAAAAGTATTACGATGCAAATTTTAATTATCTCAACACTTCACCCATCCACAATTTTAAAGTTGTTTATCTACAAAGTTAACAAAGTTTAACTTAAGAAAAAAATCTAATTAATTCGTCACAACTAAGAAATTAATGTATCTAGCTAAGAGAATATAGATTACTCCCTTGGAAAGATTGGATGTAACCAAATTTTATAGAGGTAACTTAAAGGCTATTAAAAAGGTAAAACCTATAGGAGAGCGAAAGATTCTCCAAGTGGACGGAATTCTTCACCAAAGGAGATATCTTTATTTGGAAAGAAGTTGACATAAGACAAAACAAAATCTTAAGTGAGTTTGCAAGAAAAGTGAAACCTAAAAATTTATGAATGTAAATTATATGATGGTTCATGCTCATCTCCTTAAGCATATTATGCAACAAAAGCTAGATAATTCCTTAAAGAATAAACTCTCGAGGTCACCCTGCATACCCAAGGAGCTCATGTTAAGAAAAGATAAAACATCCGCAAAAACTTTTATGGAAGTGAAAATCTCATTTAAAAAAGGAAATATGAAAGATAGTTAAGTAATCACTTTTATTCTAAAAGAGGTAGAACACATACAAACTGATGGTCGGTGTACCTTTACTAAACACCATGTTGATTGTTTCAGATGGTTCTCTTATTCTCTCCGGGTTGGCAAATATCTTCATGCCTGGGATGGATGGGTGGACCCTAATCATCCTTTGGTCTCCACCAGCTGTTTTCCTGGGTTCTCTTCTGTAGGCAATAATTAGATTATTTAACCTTATGATACCCAGGGTTGTGAACTTACTCCTAAGTGGAAATGCAATGTTGGCTCTTTCTAGCAATTTAATTAGGTTCTATGTATATAACATATCATAATCGCTCTCCCTTCTGCATGTGCCACTTCGGGCTCCAGGTCTCGTACCTCCAACATCTTCTTTTGGAATCACATTATATAGGCACACAAACTCTCTTGCTGCCCCTAACTAACCTATGACAGGGGTTGCAATCTTTTATGTGACTTTTGCACGTAGGTAAATTGTGTTGTAATCAACCTTTTAAAATCAAGGAAAGAGGTGATTCACCCAGTGGTAAGCCATTAAACTCCTCGAGTGTTGATTCCCTCAGTGTGGTGAAGAAAAGACAACACTTCAGCGTATTTGTTATTCCTAGCAGACAAATAGATAATTCAAACGATGTAATGTGGTCAGTTGGATCAGATTGACCCTTGTAGGAGTCAACGATAGAATTTTAAACTTCTCTGGGGGTTTAGAGGCAGATATATTCTATGATAAAATGAGTATCATCATTCTTCCTCGGTCTGGGTTACTCTTTGACTATTATATGTAGGCTGATCCTCTAGGTAGTTCATTTTTTGCGGGTATGCACAATTCATCGTGCCACTACTTCTCTATTGTACTTCGTCAATTAACTCATCATTTGGGCCCTTGATTTTTGAATCTGATGTTATACATACTTCCGAGTGCACTCTATATTTCTTGTGTCTCTCTAATGAACTTGTTCTCCTAATGGTTCTCATCTTCTTATTGTTGGCATGATCCATGTTTACCACACATCTTAGGATGTTAAATATGAAATTGTCTTATGAGGCACACTCAAGGGATATAAGGTAGGACAAGAGGGAGATATAGAGTGAGAGAACACAATAGAGTGGAAACGAGACTAGATTATCCTGAATGATTTATTAGCCCTTTATTGTCGAAATGACCCTCTGTTTAAATGCACACTTACTTTTTTGCTCCAATTAGAATAAGGACCCCTCATGATATTTTCATCATAATTAATAAAATACTAAATAAACTAAAAAAAGTTTGGCTCGACTATCCCATCATTCGATCATCTAATATCAGTGGCCCTTGGGTCGGCCAGGTCAGTCTGGTTGATTTAGCTGAGTTAGGGCAGACAATCAGTTCACAATACTGGTCAGTCAGTCAACTCTGTAGAGAATAGTAGGTCAACTTAGTTGAGGATGTTCGGTCAGTTTGGCTAAGTACGATCAATTAGTTTAACTAAGGCCAGCCAGTGGACTTGACCAAGGATAATTGGTCGACCCATGAAGGTCCTTGGGTCGCTTGACTTTGTTTGACAATATCCTTTGGTCTAATTATTAGTTATTGGCCTCTTAAGTGAGATTCTTGTTGCTAAGATGACTGGATTGTAAGGCAGACCGCAGATTACTGTAATTCGACAAGTAGCCCACCTATTTAATAAGAGAATAATCGAGGATGTATGTGAGTGCAGTGTTGTGCACCTAAAAAACCTTGGCGAGTCTTGAGGGGTTTCTCCAAAGTGGTTGTGGTGTTATTTTGGGTAGTGTCACATCCCTTTCTTTGGTTGGGCAGGTCCTGAACCTTGATCCAAGGGGCTTTCGTTCGACAAGCTTTGTACACGATTTCAAAGGGCTCGTGGCTAGGCACTATATCACGCGAGCTCACATTGTTGTGCCTTTTGACCTCTTGTCGGTCATCTTTGACCATGCTTGTTTTTATTCTAGAGGATTTTCTTGTGATTCATGCTGAAGTACTTTGGGTGTACATAAATGTTTTCTTTAATAAAGGAAGGAGGAAATCTTATGGTAGTAAGATTGAGGCAGTACAACTTCGAAGGTAGAAGCCTACCTAAGGTTATAGGTAGATATTAAATCTTGTAAAAATTATTTTATGCTCTTATTAGTTTTTACTTACTTTTAGAATCATTTTAATCTTCTTACTTTAATACAAATAAAAAATTTAATTATGCACTCATCTAAAAAACAAAATTTCTAAAAAACACTAATTTGCTTTCGTTTGGTCGTGCCATACACTTCACAACAAATCTTATGACCATTAATTTAATGGTTTTCTATGAAAACTTCATGAATTTTTGTATGCTGATTTTCTATTTTGTTTGCCAATATTTTTTTAGCTCCCAATGTTTAAATTGATTTTGTTTATCACCCAATTAAAATGATATCACTTAAACTAATAAATAATACTAATTATAGATAATTTTCCTTTAGCCTTAGGAGAATAATTTATAAATTTCACAATCATAAAATGAATACATTTCTTCACGTATTTAAATGCTTATTTTAATTTATCTAAGGTTAATCATGCTTTTATATAGTTAAAATCTCACAATTTACTTATTAAAAATACATATCTCAAAATAATGAATGTTTAAAATGAATTTGAATGAAACAAACTAAATTTAAATGAATTATTTATGCTTTGACCCAATTTTGATTTTAGTTTTGTACATCAATTATGCTTTCTATTTTTCACTTTCTAGAAAAAAAAAAATTATATAAAATAAAATTAAAAAGTTGGAAGCTTAACCTTAAAATTTTATATTTTATTACATTTAATTATTTTTTTATCAAAGTTTTTTCAAATTAAAATGAATAAATTTATTCATATTTCTTTTTTTTTTATATTTCTCTTAGAATAGATTGTACAATCGTAATCATTTGATTGAAAAAATAGAAATATTTGTTTACGGAAAACATGTGCAAAGTTGGGTACATTTTAGATTATTCAGAGGGTATATCTATGTTACATTTATGTTACAGGAAGAATTAAAAGGGATATAATTTAAGTATAATTTAGCTATATTCTTGAAATAACCTGAAATATATGCAACTATGAATAGCTTTAATAAATATTTCTCTTTAGAGGGCTTTCAGATTGGGCCGCGCCGTTGTCCGTCACTTCTGTGGCCCACCCTTCCAACAGGCTCGGTGGGCCGAGAAGTTGGTCGTTTACCTCTTTACCACAAAGAGCCCTAACCCTACGCGGGCGCAAAATCCTAGCTCCCGATCGCCAGTATCGTCGTTCACCGAGGATCTCCTCTTTCATCTCTGTGCTAACTGTATTCCGAGCTTCTTGGTGCCTAGTTTCATCTGTTTCAGATGGCTTGCTGCCGGAAGAGCCTCACCGTGGGATACAGTTACCTCTCCCGGCGATTTCACCCGTCTTTCTTCCACCTCGTACAGGACGATAGAGAACGCTCTGGATCCCCGCAACCCTTGCTGCTTTCACCGGCTGCAACGCAAAGTCGAGCCGGTTCCTCGCAATTGTTCAATAGGTTCAGATGTCCGGATCGGGATTGGAGGAGGTTAGGATTTTCTCTTCCGAGACCAACTGATCAACATTCCAGGAACTACGCGTCTAGTTCAGAGGGATTGAATGAGACCGGGTGCACCAATGATGTTGCGGATGTACTGACCGAAACTGCAGTGCATTCGAGTGAAGTTGGCACTGCCGCCAGTGCTTCTTCAGTTCCGGTACCGTTTCCTGGCGAGGTTGCAGCTGCTTCCGTTGATTCTTTCGCCCCTGTTGCGGCATTGCAGCATTTGATTGACGCAGTGCATTCTTTCTCTGGCTTGAACTGGTTAGGCTTCTGCTCCTCATTTGTTGTTGTTTTTCTTTTGTAGTGTGCATTTAGATTTTTTTTTTTGTTTTCATTTTTTCTGATTTTGTTCACTTGATTTTATTCAATATACGTTTCAGGTGGGCTTCTATTGCCTTGACAACTCTTTTGATTCGTGGAGCCACCGTTCCTCTTCTGATAAACCAGTTGAAAGATAGTGCAAAACTAAATGCGAGTCATTTTTTATCTGTTTTTAAAAGTTTTGATGCTTTGGCTAGAATTTTCTACCACCTATAAGTAACACTAGGGGTTAAAGTCACACCACACGAAAACTATTTGAGAATTTGATTCCTAGGCACCTACTTTAGTTGGCAAAAACCGAAATATAGAAGTTTTTTCAAACTTATGGTTGTAAGCTTAATCTCATCTTGTTGGATCCTAATTTGTGCTTTGTGAATCACGCCCCGAGAGCTAGAGCAAATTGAAAGAGAGAAGTAAGAGAAAGTAGAATAAGTTTCAAGTTTTTTGTAGGGAGAATCGAGGGAGAGACCCATTTATTTGTATTTTTACCCCTTATAATAGAGGCATGTTTTGTATATTTATAAAAAGAAAGGAACATTTATGTAAATCGTTCTTAATGCCATTAATGCTCTAATTGGTTGTACAGATTTTATGATATTTTTGCATTACAATTTGAATTTCAACATCGATGGTAATTGACTGGTCGGCTGGTTTGAAGTTGCTGACTAAGACGACCGACGGGATGACATCTGTGCCTTTTAAAGTATGCGTGGGTTAGTTTAAGTGTTTGGTCGCATGAAGATCTTGCGTGATGCATTTTAGCACGGTCAAGCAAAGCGGCCGTTTGCGAGGTGGTCGTTCGGTACAGTCATGGGTTGTTCTGTCAAACGTGATTGGTCGATTTTTTTCGTTGAGGGAGTTGTGACTCATTTTCCATTCGGCTCGAGTCTTATAGGGCTCGTGTCTGGTCTGCCTGATTAGTTTGTCACTTCGGCCGAATCTCCCAATCTTGCAAGGTCTTATGCGGATCTTGTCGCAGCCTATGCGGGATATCCGACGAGACTTACTGTCGGGATGATTTATGCCTCACTTTCGACGTGTCTTGTTGTTATTGAGTGGGGAATCATCTCCAGAGCTTAAATCTATCCCGGGTTTGGAGGCGCGATTTCATGCTTGACCTTGAATTGTTAGTTGACTGGTTATCTTGAGAATATAATCTTTCATCTTGGTCGTTCGTTCTTTTTGAGATTTGTGCTGATATTTTTGGTGTATACATATTAGTTCTCTGAGTTTTTCTTTTCTTTGATGACGACAACTACAGCAAAGACGGGAAAATTGTTAGACAATTGTTAGCAATAAATTTATGAATTGATTGAACACATCACTTCTTTTAGGATTCCATGCCCTGTGTGCTTTATAAGACATGAATTGAGCCTTGTATCATTTGTCATCGATTTCTCTTTTTTACAACTGAGGTGTTATGACTCTGAGAGGCTTGCGAGGGCGAGGTTTCAGATTCCTTCTTCAGTAATGAAGAAGAAAGCGACAACGAAGGAGAAGTGGGTGGCCTTGGAGTCTGGTTCGGGCGTGCGTGTTGACGACCAACAGCTCCTTTAGACCGAGGCGAGTGGTAAGGAGCGGTTGTCACGATCCTCTTGCCGTCACTGTTGTAGGAAAGTGAGGACTAAAGAAGCCTCGACGCCGTAGTGAGAGGAGGCTTTTAAGACTGTCTCTTCTATGGAGAGATTTATGGATGAATTGACCAGGTTGGAGGAACGCTAGGCCGACAGGTTGTCAATGAATGTTGTGTAGTTTGCTCCTACCGCGGTGTTGGTTATGCAGGTTGGAGATGTGGGGCTCTCGCCACTATCGGCCTCGGTAATTCATCTGCCACTTGGCCCATCGCCCATGATAGATCTCCAATTGGGGAGAGTGTCCGGTTGAGCGCAATCTCCCAAGATAATAGAGCAGCGGGGAGGCGAGATCGAACTGTTAGAGGAGTTGATCGACCGGACACGCCTGGGGTTTAATTGTGGATCCTATGCAGGTGTTGTCTACTCGTCGGACGTTGACATAATGGTTCTGCGGACGGAGCTCGTCACCTCTGTGGCAGGCTAATCAAGTTGTCACACACGAGCTAAAGGTACTCTATTAGATGTTTTATCTGGTGAAGTTCAACTGGGTAGCTGATCAGGTGGGTCAGTTTAAGTTAGGTGGAGAGATTATTTTTCGGAGGTTGGGGCATGTTCCCTCCAAGGTCTTGGAGGTCCCCTTTATAAAATGTTTCGTTCGAAGCCTGTAATAATGTTATTCACAATAAAATAATATTTTAATACATTTTGTAAAGATGTTTGGTGTGTTACTTATCATTATGTGATGTATCTTTTGTCGTGCCTGCTTTATAAGTAGGAGATGGGGCCGCTTCTTTTTACTTTACGCATTTTTTCTTCTCTTTTTTCTTTGGTTTTCTCTTCTCCTTTCGTCTTTTGGTTGGTTATGCTCTTCTCTCGAGATAGCCACAAACACTCGTATGTCTTGTTTGGCTCTGTGAAGGGCACTGACCCTTCGCTTCGAACAGAGAATGAAGTGAGGGAGCTGCAGCGAAGGTACATTCTTGATGAGTACGTAGGTCTTTAGAAGCTGCATGGATTGGCATGAGCGATGGAACCTCTGGGAAATGACCCGGTCTTCTATCGAGACCAGTTTAAATATGGCCTTCGATTACACCTGTGCAAGGAGCTCTAGAGCATTTTCAACACTTACGAGGTTATTCTAGTACAAGTGACGCCGAACTCCATTCCCATAATCATGACTTTCGTTCTTTCCTATTGGCGAGAGAATGCTGCGTGGCCAATTGAACTCTTTAGATACTTCTCGTTCAAGGTCGATGGGAAGGGCTACGCTATATTCTCAACGGACAATGAACTCCACTTAATAGGAATGGGGAATAAATTAAAAGATTGGAAGAAAGGAAATACTCCATGAAGAACTTAAGGATGGAGCATGGAGAGTTCAAGAAGAATATAGGATTATGTATTTATGTAAGAATTGTATGGAATAATATAGAATGTAGGAAATTCTAGAATATTCTCATGGCTTGGAGGGGGACTATAAATAGAGGTCCATCCCTTCATTTGTAATCAACTAAGCATTCAATCAAAGCTTCCAAGTATTCAAGTGTGAAATGTTCATTTCTCTCTATTCTTCTTCTTAAGAGTGCTCGGTGCTCACAAATCAAAACGTTGTGAGCATTAGGCTGATTTAGTGCTAAAGAAGAACGCTAAAGCCGCATGGGTGATTAGAGAAAATTTAGTCCGTGACAAAAAGCATCAAAGAGCATGTGATGGAGTCGGAAGCCACCAATGTGGAATCATCTCAACAAGGGCGAGGTCGCCGTGAGCAAAGAGATCCCTTACCCAAGCCACAAGGGAGGTCCAAGGAGATCATGCATGACTGTGATTCGCGCCTTGCTCGGATAGGGGAGGCAATGAATGGCGTGGTGGGCCAAGTAGAAGATCTTGGCCAAAGGGTTGATGCACTAGAAGAGGAGGACATTACCATCCATTCAACAATCAGGGGTATGTTGCTCAAATTTGAGTAGATCTTAATGGCCATATGACTAAGTTGTAGGAGGATTTGTTTGGGAAGCTCCAAGAGGGGCGAAGAGCCGATGAGGAGGAGACGAGCGACGAGCGTGCTAGCTTCCAGTAGATGCTTTGAGACATTTCGATGTGTAAGTGGGCACTAGCGGCTTCCACAAGCTATCTTACTTTCGAAACCAAGAGGATTGAAGTTCCAAAACATATGAGTTTTGGACGGGCTTGCAACGCGAAGGTAGTAGAAAACTTCTTATGAGGACTGGAGCAATACTTTGGAGCGATGAGGATTGCCGAAGAAGATGCAAACATAAAATTTGCCTATCTTTATCTCTGAGACATCGCTATGCTTTGGTGGAGAAGAAGAAAATGAGACGTAGAGAAAGGTTTGTGCTCCATGTCAACTTTCAATGACTTCAAAAGAGATTTAAAAAGGCAGTTTTACCCTGAGAATGCGAGGATGAGGGCAGAGCTCGATTGCAGAGGCTCAAGCAAGAGGGATCGATTCTGGAGTACATTAAGGAGTTTACAAGCTTAGTACTTGAAATCCCTGATATGTCAGATAAGTATGCTCTCTTCAACTTTATGGATGACCTCCAACATTGGGCAAAAATCGAGCTTAGAAGGCGAGGAGTGCAAGATCTTTCTACTGCCATTGCGACTGCTGAAAGCTTAGTTGATTATTCATATGAGTCTAGAAAACCTGAAGCTAAGAAAAGTTTTACTGTCAACTGTGGGGATGACAAGGGTAAACACAAGGAGGAAAAACGTCGCGAATTGACCCCAACAAAGTCAAGGGACAAGGGGAAGACTAACAAGCCATATCAAAATCACTGTTTTCTTTGCGAAGGATCTCATTGGGCAAGAGATTGCCCTCAGAAGAAGGCCCTCAACTCTCTTCTTGCAAGCCATAAGGAAGAAGAAAGTAACAGGGAAAATGTCATGGAGGCACGTGTGGGATCTCTTCAACTGCTGAACGGGATGCAAGCTCCGACAAAACCCCAAGGAAAGGGGTTACTCTTTGTGGAGATGACAATAGAAGGGAAGACCACCAGGTCAATGGTGGATATGGGTGCTTCCTACAACTTCATCTCCAGCGAGGAAGCATAGAGGTTGGGGTTGCATATGATTAAAGGAGGGGGTTCCATTAAAGTCATTAACTCAGCAGAGATGCCAATCGACGGAGTGACTAAGGGAGTCAAAACCAATATTAGGGCATGGTCAAGTATTCTAGACTTCTCTGTCGTTCATTTGGATGATTACAAAGTGGTTTTAGGAATGAACTTCTTGGAGCAAGTAAGAGCATTCCCAATGCCATTTGCCAATAGCTTGTGCATCACGGAAGGGAGTCAAGCTTGCTCAATACCGATAATAAGGTTAAGCAAGCAAAGATCCAAAACGCTATCGACAATCCAACTCATGGATGACATTGCTCAGGACAAGGGGGACAACTTGACTATCCTTCACGATACGAATGAAATAAAAAAGTCCCAAGGAGATGGGATGCCGAGGAAAGTGGTGGAGGTTTTGCCAAGAAAGAAGTAAGATGGTTCCACAAGATTGGAGGCAAGGGATAAGCCGCCAGCCGGGAAAACTCACTGCATGACTCCACTCTCCCGTAATTCAAAGTTTGCCAAGACTGAGGACAAATTGAGGAGACAGTTTTGAAGGGGCAGGGGAAGCCACAATGAGGGCATTGCGAGTTTAAGTGGGGGAGAGTGTCATGCCCCGCCATCTTCAAAGAAATGGCATGACAAGCATGAGAAAGAAAACTCTAGAAGAGGCATGTATGACAAGAACCTTCTAGAGCTAAGAAGGTGGAATAGAGTTCCACCAAACTCTAGAAACTTCTACCCGATTCTAGAGGTCAAAGAAAGACAATACTTCATGAAGAACTCAAGGATGGAGCATGGAGAGCTTAAGAAGAATCTAAAAAAATCTAGGATTATGTATTTATGTAAGAATTGTATGGAATAATCTAGAAAGTAGGAAAGTAGGGAAGGGAACTCTAGAATATTCTCATGGCTTGGAAGGGGACTATAAATAGAGGTCTCTCCCCTCATTTGTAACCACCTAAGCATTCAATTAAAGCTTCCAATTATTCAAGCGTGAAGTGTTCCTTTCTCTCTATTATTCTTCTTAAAAGTGCTCGTTGCTCACAAGTCCAAGCATTTTGAGGATTAGACTGATTTAGTGCTAAAGAAGAACGCTAAAGTCGCACGAGTGATTAGAGAGAAGTTAGTCCGTGACAGGTTGCTCATAATATCGCGACCACTGGTCAGGTTGCCGCTTCTGGTCACGGTGCCTTCGGTTATCTCCCCGCTCCGGGATTGAGGGTTATTGTTTTGGTGATCGACGGAGGACTTCCTGTCCCTCGTCCTTTGTTGTTCGCCCTGTTCTTTCCACTTCTGTGACAGTTGGTTGGATGATTCTGACTTATCCTTCGGGGAGCTCTGGAGGTCTTCTTTGGCAAGTATGTGCATGTTCATCATCTCCAATACTTCTTCGAAAGTGGTAGGTTTAAACAGATTTAGGTCATACCTGAATCGCTTGCTTTAGATTCCTCGTTTCAAGACAATTCTGGCTATTCCTTGCTTCAGATTTCTAACTTCCGGCATCTTCTTCTAGAAGTGGGTGATGTAGGCTCGTATGCTTTCATTTTCTCTCTGTTTAAGATCGAGCAGGGTATACGAGTCTTTCCTTGACTTTTGCATGTTTGAGAAGTGCGAATAAAAGATTGTCTTAAACTTGTAGTAACTTGAGATAGTTTTGGTCGACAGACTTTAACTACCGGAGGGCGGACTCTTTCAGGGTGGTTAGGAAGGGACGACACATTATTGGGTCGTCAATCTGGAGCAGACCAACGGTTGATTCGAATGGCGTGACGTGGTCGATCGGGTCGGTCCTCCCTTTGTAAGAATTCAGGCGAGGGATCCTTAGCTTTGGGGTAGGTATCACCTATTTGATTTAGTGAGTCAAGTCCCTTCCTGCAAGCGATCGGACTGGCACTCGCATCCATTTTTCCCTTCGCTTGTTCGTCTATGCAAAGTTGGTTGTGCTGCTGTGTTGAGACTCGCCTTGTCTTCTTGTTGTTGGTTGTTGACATGGTTGTGTGGGATAGGTGGGTTCCTTGGTGGGAGCCTTTGGGGACGAGCTCCTTGGTGTTTCACTTCAAGGCGAAGTGCCTGGTCCTTCCTCTGGGTGATTGCTGCGCAAAGGACCTCAAATATCCCTATAATGAGAGTCATTTGGGCTTGCAACCCTAGACTTGTGCCTTGACTTCTGGTTGTGTAGTCTTTCTATGGGTTCCATGCTCACTATCTCTTTTTGGGAAGGTTTTCCTTCGTAGTCTTTTCCATTTCTTGTTTGTGGCATATCCACGCTCACCGCACAATTTTTTAGGATGTTAGATCTTAAATCTTCATTTGTAAATCACGCCCTGAGAGTTCGAACCGAGTGACGGAGAGAATGAAGATAGTGTAAAATGTCTTAAATTTTTGTAGGGAGAATCGAGAGAGAGACCCCTTTATCCGTATTTTTTCCCTGTATTTATAGGGACGTGTTTTGTACAAATACAGAAAGGATGAAGCAGTTATGGAAACTGTTCTTAATACTATTAAGGCTTTAATTGATTATACAAATTTTATGTCATATTTGCATTACAATTTGAATTTCAACATTGACGATAATTGACTGGTCGGCTAGTTTGAAATCAATCGACTGAGGCGACCAGCCGGGTGACATTTGTGCACTCTAGAGTATGTGTGGGCTTGTCGAGGTGTTTGACCGCATGGTAAACTTGCTCGGTGTCTTTTGACACGGTTGATCAGAGCGGTTGGTTGTGAGGTGGTCGTTCGGTCTGTACGCGGGGTTGGTCAGTCGAATGTAATTAATCAGTTTTTTTCGTTGAGTGAGTCGTGGCTTATCTTTCGTTCTGTTCGAGACTTACCTATGCAGCGTATTCGACGAGACTGGCTGTTGGGATGATTTACGTCTCATTTTCGGTGGGTCTTGCCGCTACTGAGCAGGGAGCCATCTCCAGAGCTTGAACCTATCCCGGGTTTGGAGATGCGGCTTCGTGCTCAATCTTGAATCGTCAGTTGATTAGCTATCTCAAAAGGAGGCTTTGGTTGTTCGTTTTATTTGAATTTCATGCTGCTATTTTGGTGTATGAACTCTAATCTATACCTTTCCAGTTATCTGACATTTTTTTCCCCTCATTGGTGCACATTTGTATAATTTCCTACTAAACAATTCTCATAATTTGCCAACCTTTGCTTTCTATTCGTTGTTTAATTTTTACTGAATTGCAGATTATGAGACCAGAGCTGGAGAAACTCAAGGAAGCGTTAAATAATGTATGATATTTCCGTTATGTGCTAAGAACAATGGCTTTTATCCAGCTAAGAATTTTCTTTGAAGCTTCTCGTTTGTTCTTGTTTTGCTATAATAAGGATAGCAGGCAGCACCCGTTGTTTTCATTCCAACTTTTCTTATGAAGTTGTTTGTTTTCCATTTAATGTTTGTTTATCTTCTCTCACAGAATATGGACCCAGAGTTTCTTCAGGAGGGCCAAAAGCAGATGAAGGCTTTATTCAAAAAGTATGCTTCATTTTACCATACATTGCTGCTTTTTTCTCCTTGCTTTCCTTTTTTGCATGAGGCTATTTACCAAAGGTTCTGTCTTGACATATAAACCTTGTAATCTTTTGTTCAAGGACTTCCATGTCTGTTTAAAGCAATATATTTTTTGCAATATTGGAGTGATCCCATTACTTTAACCCTTTCAAGCATTTAAGTGTGAATGAACGTAGCAGACCTGATGGTATGCTCGAGAGATGAATATCAACATTTTCTTATTGCACAGTCTCGTTATAAGGAAGCATGCTATTATTTTTTGTTGAATTATTTGGCGAGTTTGGCAAATTTTGGAATGGTTATGAAGCATTTTGCAACCCTAATTTCTTTGGACTGGGAGCATTGGTGGAGGCAGGATGCTGTTATGACTGCCACCAAAGTCTAAAATTACCACTTTGCCCTTGGGGTACTTTACTTCTTAACTTACTAAATGACTTTGATAGTTAGAGTGTCATATCTATGAGGTAATTAAAGTATCAGAGGAGAATATGTGGATTTTTAAAATTTAATTTAATTTAGATAATTATTTAAATTTAGAAAATAAGATTTTCAAAAGTTAATTTATTTAATTATCCAAAATAAAATTTATATTTATGGAAAAATTATTAGAAGTTTCCTAAGGTCAGATAAACACTTAGGCAAAACTTCATAATTTTTTATTCAAATTTCTATTTTTATTATTTAATTTTAGATCAATTTTCAAGATTTATTTAAATAGAAAATAGTGTTTTAGTTACAAAAATTGTTTTTATACTTTTATTAGACTCCTCTTAGTTCAAAAAACTGAGAGAATCCAATTTTATATTTTTGTGATTTTTAATTTATTTACTTATTTTTGTGTGAAAATTCATTTTTAAAATTTTAAAATTTATTTTTAAATTAAAAAAAATTAGGAAAAATGTTCTAATGAATTCTAAGTGACCAAGGGACATTCCCACTCATTTTGAATCATTTTTTGTATTTTTAAGAAATTAGATTATTTTAATTATTTTTAATTCAAAATATATTTTAAAAATGAAATATTTTAAAAAAAATGGGTTTATTTTTATAAAATGTCCCTGATCACAAGGAACTCAGAAAAATATCTTTCATAATTTTCTAAGCATTTTTGAATTTAATATAATTATTTTTATACAAAAAATAAAGTTTCCTTGAGAAATCCATTTTAGAGCCTAGTTTAAGTCAAATAATTTTGATATTTTTACAGTGGGTGGACATGATTTTTATGAATAATGTGGAATTGATTTTGTTAATTTTTTATATTTATTTAATTTACACAAATTAATACAAGGTATTTACATTTAACTAAGTATAAAAATTCACAAAATGATTCAAAGCATCACCATATTTTTCCTAGATTTCTGTTATCACAAGAAAACTATTAAAATTGTTCTCATAATTTTAAAGTGGTATTTTGGTTTATATAATTAAAATAAGCCAAAATGGTCACCTTATCTTGAAAATTAGGGTTATAAGCATAGAGGTTCCCTCTGACCTTGGAAAAATCAGAAGACATGGCCCCCGTCATGAGGAACAAACCCTCAAAATTTCAAGCCATGGTGAAATGTTTTAAGCCATGGAGAATTAAAATACCATAGAGGGTATTTAATTAATTAAAAATCAGGGAGTGAGAAAATAATTTTTTTTTAATCTACATTCTTTTTCTCTATTCACTGAGCAAGAGAATATTTTTCTTTTATTTTTTTTGATTTTTCTAAAATGGATTTTTGAAGTTTAAACATTTAAAATAATTCAAAAATCCCTATTTTCCTACTTATTTACGCGACACTGACTAGATATTAGACAGCTCCAAAAGAACACGCGGCACTTCACCATTTGACGTCGCCATCCCCCTCAGCTACCACACGAACCGCACTTTATGCACCATGGATCTGTCTGGCTTGATCTCCTCCATCCAATGAATACATGAGCGATCAGACGACTCTCCGTTATCGTCCCCAAGTGACCTAACCCATGAGCCGTTCACACTAAAACCTTAAGATCTTGGCCTAGACTCAACGAAATCTCGTGGGGTTTGTTTCTAAACCTTCATCTACTCAAGATGAACAAATCTATATGGTTTATATAGTATGAAAGACACTAAATACATATGGAGGGTCGAAAAAAGCTTAATTTAGGGTTGGAGTTCAATATCTTTGTCTGAGAGAGGAGGCCTCAACCAGATTGTTGTGGTAGTTTTGATTGGTCCCAACAAACTTTCAGATGTAGCCTTAGTGAATGGTCTAAGTATGAATTCGATCAAGCTTGATTTCAGGTGTTAGTCTAGAGCTAGGTTAGAGGCTATTTGAGATGGGGATTTTGTTGGGAATCAACTTCTTTCACTGTGGGGATAGTGCGTGCACAATTAATTGAAGTTTGGTTCACTATGGAGGTGTGGAGAGATCTGTTCTGGTTTTGGGGCAAATTTCAGTGAAGAAATTGGCTCTGTGGGGTGGCTATCAGTGGCTGAGAGCAAGGGGATTGCACTTGAGGTGGTTTGGAGAAGCTTTGGTGAGATTTTGGCAGAGTTTCATTAAGGTTTCAAGCAATACTTCTTTGGCCATGGAGAGCTCCATTTAAAGCCATGGCTTCCTGGTGGAGCTTAGGCCTTGGAGTTGGGTGCTAAAGCTTGTTGAGGTGGAGGAAAGAAAGGCTCTAATGGCCAATGGGAGTTAGCTAAGTCAGGGAGGTTCAATTTTGGGTTTTGGCCACTTGGGACTCCCTTGGGCTGGCTGTTTCTAGTGGCTGAGGACATGGCTGTCCAGGTTCAGTCACTTCTTGTCTCAGGGAGGTCAGGGGGTTCTTAATGATGGCTAACCCTCAAGGGTAAGCAATGTTGAAGGAGATATTTGAGTTTAGGCAAGATATGGGGTAAAGATACGGGGTGAAATCCCTTAAATCAAGGGAACATTGGTCCATAGCTCATTTTGGCTGGTTTTAGTGGGTTTAGCCTGGTCTATAGGGTGTGCTTAGTGGCTGTGGTGTCATCAATTTGGTGGCTTAAATTTGGTGGCTTAGGCATGACTAAGTCACTTTTGGTGCATGGGTCCAATTTGGGTCCAAATGACTTAAAGTTAGGTTTGAGGTAGGCTAGCCATGAATTTAGGCTAGCCATGAATTTTAGCCTAATTAACTGATCAATATTGTGTAGATGATTGTTATGAAGATTTTTGGCGAAGGATTGAAATGATTTTGAGTTTAATTGGAAGCTCAATTTGAAGGATTTTGGGCTTTTGGTCAATTTGGCCATGTTGGAATAAACTTGGGTCTAGATTGGGCTAAGGTTGGGCAAAGTTCAAATTTATTATTGAAAATGGTCTATAGGAATTTCATAAAGAGTTTTTAATACAAATTGGGTGTCAATTTTAGGGTTAGGGCATTCAATTTGGTGAAATTTGGAGACAACCAATTTGGGGTAAATTTGGGGATTTTTGGTAAATTTGGGGGACAACCAATTTGGGGTAAATTTGGGGATTTTTGGATTTGTATTAAAATTAAATGAAATTGAGGTTTCACCAAGGCCAATTTAAAGTTAAATTTGATGTGTATGATTGTTATGAAGGATGTAGGATTCAAATTGGGGCAAATTGAGAAGGCTATGGGGTTCAATTTGGTGGGATTAAGTCATAGAGCCAAAATTGGGGTTTTGAATTGGTTTTGAATTGGATCAAAATTGATTGGATCAAAATTGAGCTCAAAGAATAAGTCAATTAGGCTTGTATTTGTTTATATTGCTCATATGAAAGGTTAATTTGAGTTTAGAATTGAAATTGATGGAAATTTGAACCAAATTAATGGACATTTAAGGTGAATTTGGGGAAATTAGGCCCTTAAAGGCAATATAGGGATTTTGGTCAAAATTGTCAAACTGGCAAACTTGGGTTCAATTGGAGGGTCCAAATTGGTTTTGGAAACATTTGTAGTGATTTTGGAGGTTTTGGAAAAGTTTGGGGTGCCAAGGGAATTTTTGTAATTTGGGCAATTTTTGGGGTGTTTTGGTAAATTTAGATTTTTTTTTGGTTTTGGGTAATTTGGTTATTTTGAAATGATTTGAAATGATTTTTGAAAAAACTTGGGTATTTTTGGGTGAAATTGGGATTTTTGGCCAAATTTAGGATTTGGGGGTATTTAGGTAATTTGGGTGGATTTGGAGATAAAAAGTCAAATTGAATATTTTTGGTAGAATCAGGGTGTCAACCACCATATATGAGCTATGGACCAATGGAATCCCCATTTGGGACCTATATGTTCTGGTCTTAGCTAAACCTTAGCCTCGGGCTAGTGGGTTTAGGGGACCATCTACGACCATCTACATGAGTCTCCCAAAAGATCAAGGGATCAAAGTCAACAATTTTGGGTTTAGGGTTGTGAGTAATTATATGTGATAGTGACTGTAGTGAGTGAACAAGCTTCAGAACAACATCCAAAGTCAACCCTAAGGTCAATCATCAAGCTACAGAACAACATCCAAAGTCAACCCTAAGGTCAATCACTCCTATGGGAACTCATCTTGAGCTCCTTTATACTGGCCTCACCTACTATGTGCTAGAGGTTGGGACCAATATGTGAAACTTCAAGTTGAGCAAAGAGGTGTTTAAAATTTCTAATGGTGAAGGTTCCTTTCTAGTTTTCTAGGAATTATCAATAAGAAAGTCCTATTGGTAGATCCTAGGCTATTAATAATGGAAAACTAAACCTCAACCTAAAATGAGGTCAACAAGAAGATAAGGAGATAACTATCATTTTGGAGAGACCTTTCCTAGCGACAGGAAGAGCAATGATAGATGTGCAGAAAGGGGAATTAGATATGCGCGTCAATGATCAAATAATTACATTTAATATTTTCAAATAAATGAAATACCCTACAAAAGGTAAATATGACAAATGTTATAGAATGGATGTAATAAGATATTCAAGTGAATGCCATTTAAAGCAACTTACCAAGAGAAAACTGAAATGAAAGA